TGATGCGTGTTGAGCTACGTGAGTTCTGATGCGTGTTGAGTTACGTGAGTTCTGTGATGCGTGTTGAGTTACGTGAGTTCTGTGATGCGTGTTGAGCTACGTGAGTTCTGTGATGCGTGTTGAGTTACGTGAGTTCTGTGATGCGTGTTGAGCTACGTGAGTTCTGTGATGCGTGTTGAGTTACGTGAATTCTGTGATGCGTGTTGAGTTACATGAGTTCTGTGATGCGTGTTGAGTTACGTGAGTTCTGTGATGCGTGTTGAGCTACGTGAGTTCTGTGATGCGTGTTGAGTTACGTGAGTTCTGTGATGCGTGTTGAGCTACGTGAGTTCTGTGATGCGTGTTGAGTTACGTGAGTTCTGTGATGCGTGTTGAGTTACGTGAGTTCTGTGATGTGTGTTGAGTTACGTGAGTTCTGTGATGAGTTACGTGAGTTCTGTGATGCGTGTTGAGTTACGTGAGTTCTGTGATGCGTGTTGAGTTACGCGAGTTCTGTGATGAGTGTTGAGTTACGTGAGTTCTGTGATGCGTGTTGAGTTACACGAGTTATGTGATGCGTGTTGAGTTACGTGAGTTCTGTGATGCGTGTTGAGCTACGTGAGTTCTGTGATGCGTGTTGAGTTACGTGAGTTCTGTGATGCGTGTTGAGTTACACGAGTTATGTGATGCGTGTTGAGTTACGTGAGTTCTGTAATGTGTGTTGAGTTACGTGAGTTCTGTGATGTGTGTTGAGTTACGTGAGTTCTGTGATGCGTGTTGAGTTACGTGAGTTCTGTGATGCGTGTTGAGTTACGTGAGTTCTGTAATGTGTGTTGAGTTACGTGAGTTATGTGATGCGTGTTGAGTTACGTGAGTTCTGTGATGCGTGTTGAGTTACGTGAGTTCTGTGATGCGTGTTGAGTTACGTGAGTTCTGTGATGCGTGTTGAGTTACGTGAGTTCTGTGATGCGTGTTGAGTTACACGAGTTATGTGATGCGTGTTGAGTTACGTGAGTTCTGTAATGTGTGTTGAGTTACGTGAGTTCTGTGATGTGTGTTGAGTTACGTGAGTTCTGTGATGCGTGTTGAGTTACGTGAGTTATGTGATGCGTGTTGAGTTACGTGAGTTCTGTGATGTGTGTTGAGTTACGTGAGTTCTGTGATGCGTGTTGAGTTACGTGAGTTATGTGATGCGTGTTGAGTTACGTGAGTTCTGTAATGTGTGTTGAGTTACGTGAGTTCTGTGATGTGTGTTGAGTTACGTGAGTTCTGTGATGTGTGTTGAGTTACGCGAGTTCTGTGATGTGTGTTGAGTTACGTGAGTTCTGTGATGCGTGTTGAGTTACGCGAGTTCTGTGATGCATGTTGAGTTACGCGAGTTCTGTGATGCGTGTTGAGTTACGTGAGTTCTGTGATGAGTGTTGAGTTACGTGAGTTCTGTGATGTGTGTTGAGTTACGTGAGTTCTGTGATGAGTTACGGGAGTTCTGTGATGAGTGTTGAGTTACGTGAGTTCTGTGATGAGTGTTGAGTTACGTGAGTTCTGTGATGAGTGTTGAGTTACGTGAGTTCTGTGATGAGTGTTGAGTTACGTGAGTTCTGTGATGTGTGTTGAGTTACGTGAGTTCTGTGATGCGTGTTGAGTTACGTGAGTTCTGTGATGAGTGTTGAGTTACGTGAGTTCTGTGATGAGTGTTGAGTTACGTGAGTTCTGTGATGAGTGTTGAGTTACGTGAGTTCTGTGATGAGTGTTGAGTTACGTGAGTTCTGTGATGAGTTACGGGAGTTCTGTGATGAGTGTTGAGTTACGTGAGTTCTGTGATGAGTGTTGAGTTACGTGAGTTCTGTGATGAGTGTTGAGTTACGTGAGTTCTGTGATGAGTGTTGAGTTACGTGAGTTCTGTGATGAGTGTTGAGTTACGTGAGTTCTGTGATGCGTGTTGAGTTACATGAGTTCTGTGATGCGTGTTGAGTTACATGAGTTCTGTGATGTGTGTTGAGCGTGAGTTCTGTGATGCGTGTTGAGTTACGTGAGTTATGTGATGCGTGTTGAGTTACAAGAGTTCTGTGATGTGTGTTGAGTTACGCGAGTTCTGTGATGCGTGTTGAGTTACGTGAGTTCTGTGATGTGTGTTGAGTTACGTGAGTTCTGTAATGTGTGTTGAGTTACGTGAGTTCTGTGATGTGTGTTGAGTTACGTGAGTTCTGTGATGAGTGTTGAGTTACGTGAGTTCTGTGATGCGTGTTGAGTTACGCGAGTTCTGTGATGTGTGTTGAGTTACGCGAGTTCTGTGATGAGTGTTGAGTTACGTGAGTTCTGTGATGTGTGTTGAGTTACATGAGTTCTGTGATGAGTGTTGAGTTACGTGAGTTCTGTGATGCGTGTTGAGTTACATGAGTTCTGTGATGCGTGTTGAGTTACATGAGTTCTGTGATGCGTGTTGAGTTACGTGAGTTCTGTGATGCGTGTTGAGTTACATGAGTTCTGTGATGCGTGTTGAGTTACATGAGTTCTGTGATGCGTGTTGAGTTACATGAGTTATGTGATGCGTGTTGAGTTACATGAGTTCTGTGATGAGTGTTGAGTTACGTGAGTTCTGTGATGAGTGTTGAGTTACGTGAGTTCTGTGATGAGTGTTGAGTTACGTGAGTTCTGTGATGCGTGTTGAGTTACATGAGTTCTGTGATGCGTGTTGAGTTACATGAGTTCTGTGATGCGTGTTGAGTTACGTGAGTTCTGTGATGCGTGTTGAGCGTGAGTTCTGTGATGCGTGTTGAGTTACGTGAGTTCTGTGATGCGTGTTGAGTTACGTGAGTTCTGTGATGCGTGTTGAGTTACGTGAGTTCTGTGATGCGTGTTGAGTTACGTGAGTTCTGTGATGCGTGTTGAGTTACGTGAGTTCTGTGATGCGTGTTGAGTTACGTGAGTTCTGTGATGCGTGTTGAGTTACGTGAGTTGTGATGCGTGTTGAGTTACGTGAGTTCTGTGATGAGTGTTGAGTCACGTGAGTTCTGTGATGAGTGTTGAGTTACGTGAGTTCTGTGATGCGTGTTGAGTTACGTGAGTTCTGTGATGTGTGTTGAGTTACGCGAGTTCTGTGATGTGTGTTGAGTTACGCGAGTTCTGTGATGAGTGTTGAGTTACGCGAGTTCTGTGATGAGTGTTGAGTTACGTGAGTTCTGTGATGAGTGTTGAGTTACGTGAGTTCTGTGATGCGTGTTGAGTTACGGGAGTTCTGTGATGTGTGTTGAGTTACGCGAGTTCTGTGATGAGTGTTGAGTTACGTGAGTTCTGTGATGAGTGTTGAGTTACGTGAGCTCTGTGATGTGTGTTGAGTTACGCGAGTTCTGTGATGTGTGTTGAGTTACGTGAGTTCTGTGATGAGTGTTGAGTTACGTGAGTTCTGTGATGAGTGTTGAGTTACGTGAGCTCTGTGATGTGTGTTGAGTTACGTGAGTTCTGTGATGTGTGTTGAGTTACGTGAGTTCTGTGATGCGTGTTGAGTTACGTGAGTTCTGTGATGCGTGTTGAGTTACGTGAGTTCTGTGATGCGTGTTGAGTTACGTGAGTTCTGTGATGCGTGTTGAGTTACGTGAGTTCTGTGATGCGTGTTGAGTTACGTGAGTTCTGTGATGTGTGTTGAGTTACGTGAGTTCTGTGATGCGTGTTGAGTTACGTGAGTTCTGTGATGCGTGTTGAGTTACGTGAGTTCTGTGATGCGTGTTGAGTTACGTGAGTTCTGTGATGCGTGTTGAGTTACATGAGTTCTGTGATGCGTGTTGAGTTACGTGAGTTCTGTAATGTGTGTTGAGTTACGTGAGTTCTGTGATGAGTGTTGAGTTACGTGAGTTCTGTGATACCTGTTGAGTTACGTGAGTTCTGTGATGTGTGTTGAGTTACGTGAGTTCTGTGATGTGTGTTGAGTTACGTGAGTTCTGTAATGTGTGTTGAGTTACGTGAGTTCTGTGATGAGTGTTGAGTTACGTGAGTTCTGTGATGCGTGTTGAGTTCCGTGAGTTCTGTGATGCGTGTTGAGTTACGGGAGTTCTGTGATGAGTTATGAGTTACGTGAGTTCTGTGATGCGTGTTGAGTTACGTGAGTTCTGTGATGTGTGTTGAGTTACGTGAGTTCTGTGATGTGTGTTGAGTTACCTGAGTTCTGTGATGTGTGTTGAGTTACGTGAGTTCTGTGATGCGTGTTGAGTTACGTGAGTTCTGTGATGCGTGTTGAGTTACGGGAGTTCTGTGATGAGTTATGAGTTACGTGAGTTCTGTGATGCGTGTTGAGTTACGTGAGTTCTGTGATGTGTGTTGAGTTACGTGAGTTCTGTGATGTGTGTTGAGTTACGTGAGTTCTGTGATGCGTGTTGAGTTACGTGAGTTCTGTGATGCGTGTTGAGTTACCTGAGTTCTGTGATGTGTGTTGAGTTACGTGAGTTCTGTGATGAGTGTTGAGTTACGTGAGTTCTGTGATGCGTGTTGAGTTACGTGAGTTCTGTGATGTGTGTTGAGTTACGTGAGTTCTGTGATGCGTGTTGAGTTACGTGAGTTCTGTGATGCGTGTTGAGTTACGTGAGTTCTGTGATGTGTGTTGAGTTACGTGAGTTCTGTGATGAGTGTTGAGTTACGTGAGTTCTGTGATGAGTGTTGAGTTACGTGAGTTCTGTGATGAGTGTTGAGTTACGTGAGTTCTGTGATGCGTGTTGAGCGTGAGTTCTGTGATGCGTGTTGAGTTACGTGAGTTCTGTGATGTGTGTTGAGTTACGTGAGTTCTGTGATGAGTGTTGAGTTACGTGAGTTCTGTGATGAGTGTTGAGTTACGTGAGTTCTGTGATGCGTGTTGAGCGTGAGTTCTGTGATGCGTGTTGAGTTACGTGAGTTCTGTGATGTGTGTTGAGTTACGTGAGTTCTGTGATGCGTGTTGAGTTACGTGAGTTCTGTGATGCGTGTTGAGTTACGTGAGTTCTGTGATGCGTGTTGAGTTACGTGAGTTCTGTGCAGTGCAGGTGTGTGAGGCAGACCTGCAGAAGCCGAAGCTCTTGAGCGCGCAGCAGAGCGGGCGCTGGGTCTTCTGCTCCTCCTTGGCCTGCTGGACACCGAGGGCGAACTGCAGCAGCTCGGGGGGCAGGCGAGCGCCGGCTCTCCTCAGGTACCGAAGCACACCGCACACGTGCCGGGCGTTCAGCTCCGACAGCAGCAGCACAGACTGAGCCGCCGGACACCAGCTCTCCCCGTGATCCTGCACACACGCCAGTTACATCACCATCACACTCAAACTACAGGAAAGAGCATACACCAAAGCTCTCGCCGTGAGACTGGCCGGTAGGCTCGCTAGCTAACTTAACACACGCAGGCACTTATGGAGATTCTCACTTCCGAAAACGTTTGAGCACATTTTCGATTCGCCATAAATTTTCGTAAAAATTTCAATATTTGAAATCTACACAGTTGATTTCTCGCATCAAATGTTCTCAGAAGTGAAATTAGTAATGACTTAGCATACGAAATTGTAGAAAAACTAACTACTGTATTGACCTGCCTTTCCTTCCTCGAATGCCGAAATGAATGCTGGGATATTTCTGCCGCCAAGTTCACACAAGTTACCAACCGATGCATCCTCGGTAAAATGGGCGTGTTAAGAACACATCCGGGATTTTCAACCGTTCTTGCCAAAATGCAAACTTGTGTATTGGGACATTACTTGGGCCACAAAAGATGACGTTTCACAAGAACACAAGTACAGACAAGAACACAGATTGAGAAAGGCCCTTACTGTCTCAAGCGAACGGGGAGATCTATCACCCACACCGGGACAGGGTGGCTCTCTGGGCTTGGCCCATGAGAGGACAAACCTAAGCGCACTAGGGTTTCCCCCGCATGTGGTTGCTACTATACAGAATGCCAGGGCCGTTTCTACACAGTCCTTATATGGCTGTAAGTTGCATGTGTTTGAATGGTGGTGTGATGGGCACGATCTCACATCATATCAGGGCTCAGTTCCTGATATTTTGTTTTTCCTTCAAGACCTTATGGATAAAGGCAGGTTCTTTTCCACAATCAAGGTCTACCTGGCGGCGATTTCTGCTTGTCAAGTGGGATTTTGAGGGCTCAACGGTTGGGCAGCATCCTTTAATCCGCAGATTTATGAACGGTGCCTGTCGCTCCTTGCCAGTTATCAGGAGAACTGTTTCTGAGTGGGACCTCTATATGGTCCTGGACGCTCTGTCTCAATATCCTTTTGAGCCTCTGGGGAGTATTTCCCTAAAGCTGCCATATTTCAAGACGGCGTTGCTCTTGGCCTTGGCAGCAGCTAAACATGTCAGTGAGCTTTATGCACTCTCGGTTCATTCTTTGTGCACTAAATTCTCTCATAGTGGGAATAAGGTTTTCCTAAAGCCTAGTCCGGCTTTTATGCCCAAATGCTTCCCTGCATTCACATTGGAGATGTTAGAGCTGTCCACTTTTCACCCTCCACATTTCTCCTCTGCGCAGGATCAGATGCTGAATGCTCTGTGGGCTGTCCGTGCCTTACAGACATATATGGCCAGGACCAGTGCTTTCAGGAAGAGTAACCAGCTCTTTATTTCATGGGCACCCCCTCACACAGGGAGTCCCATCTCTAGGCAAGGCAAGGCAAGGGTACATTCTGTTTTAGGGGTGGGGTCTTCTTAGCCCTTCCCAGTTACCCTCCTTTTTCTTTCCAGTTCATATTGGAGTTAAAGAACAGGGGGTGAATGGGCCGGCATGCTACGCGCATTCCTGTCACCAAGCATACATTTATATTCCTGCCTGGGTGTGTGTGTGTATATATATATATATATATATATGTGTGTGTGTGTGTGTGTGTGTGTGTGTGTGTTGCGGAGATTAATTTCGTGTGTGTGCCACACACATTTCATGCAGTATGTGTGTGCATCAGGATTGCTGGTTCAGGCACCGCCTCCCTGGGGTAAATTGGGCAATCGGGGAGCTGTCCATGTCTCTCCCATAGGTGGATCTCGAACACGAGATGAAAGAAAACAATATAGTCCAGTCATTTTATGAAAAAAGTTTGAACAAATTGCAACAGAAGCCAACTCAACTGATTTTGTATCCTCAATATGTCCTGAGTAAGGAAAAAAAAGCCCCGAAGAATCCCATTAGGGGAAAGTTTAAAAAAAGACTCAAATATATCCCATTCATACGCCTATTCATTCTTTTTCTCACATGAAAAGGGTCAAATTTTTAACCTTTAGATATCATCATGAAAATCACTGAGTTGATTACTTGCATCAAGACAAACAAAAAATGTATTACAAGTTTTTTGCAATTGTTTGTTAACATGGACAAATGGTCCATAATATAATTACATATGTGCTAATTTGCATAATTACCCAAACAGATCTAAAAATTGGGTATATAGCAGGTGAAAATGTCTTGTAGAATTTTGTTGACATATAACAGTAAAAGACTTAATGTTAAGGTCTGAATGGAACCCATTTAGGCTACCCATGAACATTAATACAGGAAGAAGTACTTTAGAAACCAGCCTTTATTAATTATTATTGCAGAGATTATTGATTGTATTCATTACTTAAATTAGCTCTTTGTTCTGCCTTAAATTAATACATTAGCTTACTGTACATTTTTATATGTACATTTCTGAAATGCACAACTGATAACATCACTCTGAATTGTAGGCTAAAGTAGATGCAATGCATGCATTTTAGTTAAAGCTGCTTTGAAACAATATGTATTGTGAAAAGCACTATACAAATAAATTGGAATTGAATTGAAAGAGTCTGGACTAGCCTATTAGCTCTGCCTTATAATGAATCGCGCTGAAGCAGGCAGGCACGCAGCTATGCAGCTCGCGTTTACACTTGCGTGCATGCCGGGCCCGTGCCGCGGTTCGCGTGAATGTGAAAGCAACACGGACTCGGTGCGCGTTTTAGCTGATTATGTATTTAGTTAAATAAAACACATGTAAGGGATGATAGTGTTGATGATTTACCTTGGATACGAGCGAGAGAGTCTGCAGTGTATTCGCGCTTAACGCTTGGAATCAGGGCAACACATTTGGAAAAGTGTCTCCTCAAAAGAGTCCCTTTGCAAGCAGCAGAAGGCCACCTTATGCGACACACGCACCTGTGTTGTTCACTCAGCTGCGCATAATAGCACAGAATTAATAATAAAAATACAAATAAATATATATATATATATTGACCCACGTTCTGTTTTCTATTATGCGCCGTGCACGTTTGCAATGGCGTAAGATGCACGCAAACACACCAAGGTTCGGTAGAATTAAGTTGAGTGTGAAACCAGACCAACGCTGCGCGGGCGCCGGGAACAATCGCGCTCGGGCCGCAGCAAACGAGCCCAGTGTGAAAGCACAGTCACCTGCCTCCTCAATTTTTCATATCAAAGCAGTGAAGGCGGGGGAGGGGGAAGGACGAGGATGGCAGATTAACCAGCAGGGCGCGCACAGACTGGTGTGTGGAGGTGAATTACAGTGAGCCGTTTGAGACGGGAGACCAAAAATAAATATGCGGTCAATAGTAAAACGACACGTTTGGCGTGAATTGAAAAAAAATTGCCGTCGACTAATTTGCATGGTCGATTATGACGACTAATCGCGGCAGCACTAGTCATAACCCCGGTTCTCTAAAACATCGAGTGGAGAGATACACCAGCTTTGTCCCACTTGCCGCACGAGAAACGAATATACCTCCTGGAGAACAGCAGCGCTTGCAGGGGTTATATGCCCTCAGGTAAGGGGGTGGGTACTTACCTGGCATTGGCTGCGCTTCTGTCTGTCCAGCCAGTCTTGGTTCAATTGGATGCTTCTGCAGAGGTCAGGTACGGATGCCCTTCCCATTGGTGGATCTCTCCACTCGATGTTTCAGAGAACCGGGGTTACAACAGATTCCCATATCGATTCCTGTACCATTTGCTGAACACTTACAGGGTGGCTTTGAGAGTTGTTGGCTTTGAGTGTCTAATTTAAAGTGGTTTTAGAGAATGAAAACCAAGTGTGCAATATCTAGGGCCCTATGAAATCAGTTTTATTTTTTCCCAAATTCCGTTTTATTTTTCCCAAATTCCGTTTTTTCCGTTTTAATTTTGGGGATTTTTTTTTTTTTTACCCTTTACTGTTATTTTAGTCATAAAAAGAGTGTGCTTTTAAAGTTAATGATTAAAATATATACAAATAAAATAGGAATGACCTTAAATTACAGACATTTACTGAGTAGCCTTTTCAGGACAAATACTGCATGATGACACATGACACTGCACTCTTCAAGTAACAACAAAATATGGTTATGAGCTTTAAACTGTCCAGTAAAATAAATAATATTAGTTTATATAAGCTTAAATAAAAGTCACACTCTGTCTCTCTCTCGCCGCGCTTTTGTCCAGTCCGGCGCCTCATAGACAGACGCGGTGTGTTTGTGTGTGTGTGTGCGTGTATGTGAGAGACGCGTGAGTGATAGAGAGACGGAGGGAGAGCAGGGAAAGGAAAGAATACGCTGCGTGTTTTAAATAGCATAAAAAAATTAACGAAACGCAATATGTGGCGGCCGGAGTTGATTTTGTGGCCGCGAATTAGTCTATGTGTGGGAAACACTGCATAAAAGTCACGTGCGAACTGCTCGGTACTGAGGGCTTAAAGCGTCGAGTTTCTTAACTTTATCGCCGACGAAAGCAGAGCCGTGGAGAGTCGCTTCGCGGTAAATTAACATTACCAAAGATTAATAAATGCTATTTATTTATAAAGATTAAGAAGTGCAGTTTATGAATAGTTAATATTAACTAGTTTGGTGTTATCGATTTGTTATACACCGATTCAGATCTGTTTTGAAGAGACAGATGTTGGACAGATCAGTAATTTTAACCATTCATAAAAGTAAATCGGTTCAAATGAGTCATTAGTTCGCGAATCGGACGTGCCATTAGCTGACACACACGGCACGCGTTGTGTGATAATCCCAGCAGATAAGGACATCGCACAAGATTTGTCTCAACTCTCAACACAGAAAACATTTAATCACTGGATAGGTTTTTTGTTTATTGAAAATGTGTTTTATGTCAGCTGAATGTGCGGAACGCTTTTCAGAGAGGATAGGGCAATTTTAGTCGGCTGCAATTCACACTCAGCTGTAATTCAGGAAAAAAAATCTCCACGTGAAACTTTGGTCTTTTGATCTTTTACTATCGTGTCAATTCTCAATAGATTTTGATTAATATGCGCGATGGAGGGAGAGCAAGGCAGTTTGCAGTGAGAGTGCGCGCGCGACCGGCTCTCTCTCTATATATATGCTCGTTCTTTCAGCGCCCTGTCACGAGCGCAGCATAACAAAGCGGTAGCTAACGTTAATTGAATCAAGCAAACAACTAGCTGTTGTTTTTGCTCCAAAAAAGCTTGATTTACCTCGAATTTCACATAAGATTCCTTCACGTTATGAGTTTCCATCAGACTCGCGTGGTAGCCAGGTGTCTCATCCAATGGCGATTCTGACACAAGTGCTAAGATTCCGATTGGCCAAGATAAAAAGTACTAAGATTCCGATTGGCCCAGAGAAATGTCAATTATAAGAATTATCCAATAATGTTTCGCAATCCGAGCCTGCGTGCAGATTAAGGGCAGCCTCCGGTTCTACGTGATTCACGTGGGATGACCCAATTGACCAAGAAAACGGCGATTATCGCCGAAAAGCGACAAGTTTGCAGGTCTGAAAAATCCAGTCGCATACTGCAACGTCATGCCGCGACGCGGGAATGGATGGAACGGAACATTCGGAATCGTTAACGTGTGGACGTGTACGATTCCGATGGATCGGAACGTTTGGAACCGGTTCCAAACCGGAACCTGGAACCGATTCCCAAGCCTAGTACTGACTGTCTTTAAAGAAAGATTCTATTGAAATAACATCGAAACTTTTCTATCTTTCCTGATAAAGCAGCGTTTATGAGCGCTGCACGTCTTTGTAAACAGCATAATTTTGTAAACAGCCATGCAAACCTGTATAAATAATAGTGTGGAATATTTCAACAATATTCCCTCATGACAGTAAAATATAGCATTCTAAGTAAATCTACTGCAGTATTTCCTCTCAATCAGTAGAAAATGTGGTTAGCACAGTCATGCTTGAAAAAAAAAAAATGCTGTCATATATCGAGAAACTGGTATAATTTTGAAAAATACTGTGATATAAATTTTAGGTCATACCGCCCAACACTACATCCCCATCACACTCAACTACAGGGATAAAGCAAAGCACCGTGTCTGGAAGGGTTCTGAAGTTCTCCGACATGCAGAAGAGGCGTCGGCCGAACAGCTTGGGGGAGCTGGGGAACCCGTAATGGACCACGCATGTGGCGTCCCGGATACCAAGAGCCTTGAGGCAGTCGTTGGTGGTCACTGGAGGAACAATGAGAGTCAGACAAGAAGCAAAATACTGAATGTTCCCTAATATATGTCCACTAACCTTCCCAGAACATTGCAGGCAGGTTTTGGTAACAACCTACTGTTTTTTTTTTATCATTTGAAACTGAAGCGACTTATATAATGCTATTAAAGGCACAATATGTAAGATTTTTGGACTAAAATGTTCAAAAACCACTAGAACAAGGTTATATATTTGGTTGATTTGTATACTTACATTATCCCAAAAGTTTCTAAGAGTGTTTAAATCCAGAGAAATAAGCAGTTTTAACCAGAACATGGGCCGTGTCTGTGCGTTGCCTATCAATGACATCATACCCGCAGTTACCCTCGATTTCTGTGTTTTCGTGCTGTGTGTTTTATTAGACAGGTGAGCATCTGATTGGATAGATTCTTCGGCAGAAAACTAGTCATTGTTATACAGCTCAACACAGTTAGTCATATTGTTTAAATCTCGTTTTCTTGATTTACAGCAAGTACCATGTTTTACCATGCCTAATATCGATCTAGCTCACTGCAGTGTGTAACAAGTGTCTCATATCGTAGAGTAGCATTATAACAACTTTCATCACACTCAAATGTAATATGATAAAACAACGCTGCGTTAAACATACGCATGACCAGAAGAAGCGGAAGCTTCGGATAATAAAAGCTCCACTATTCTCGAACCGTGTGTCGCTCTCGTCTCTCATTAGCAATCGCTCCAGCACCTCGTTCCGCTCCAACAGCTTTCACAACATTAATTAATTTTTTAATACATTACGGGTCATCCATGAATATCATTTCTGCCCGAGTCCCTTCTTATTCTCCACTGGCTGTAGAGGTTGAGACAACAACTCCTATGATTCCGCCAAATCAAGGCGTCATCAAGCTACGCCTTTGTTTTGAATAAGCGACCTCTAGTGGCGAAAAATTACATATTGTGCCTTTAACACACACAAATTCGCACGAAAAACAAATCAGTTCTTGCGTTGCTAATCTGACATCATAGCCTCCTCATCATAACTACAATGCAGTCAACGAAAAACAGAAAGTTAACTAAAGTTGAATTAACCCATCCAGAACACTGCATGGAGGTTTTTGTGCAATAAACTAATTAACTGTAATAATTAACTTCAATATCTCCACATAATGTCCGGTGCTGAAGTAACACACATTAAAACCCAAGTTATGATAAATGTTTATCATCATAGTTTAAATGATAAACTGGCTTTTATTTTTTTAAATAATTGAATTATTTTAGTCTTTTTTTTTTCTATGAGATTCATGGCTTAAGTAGGACTAATTATTGACTAATAGCAGATAAAGGATGTCAGAGGTTAGGAGGAACGTTCTCCAAACCTTAAAGGAACATTTCATTTACATAAAGAAAACCTTCTTGGCTATCCAAAAGAATGTAAAAACATAACTAGAACAATAATTGTCAATATACATATAGTCAAATTCTGTCTAGTGAACGAATCTCACTTAAAGAACTAAACAAAAAACACTTAAAACAAACAACAACAACAATAGGCAGCATCAAACAGCAACAATTACTTAAAAATGATAACAGAGAATGTCTGCTTTGTAGCTGGAAAAACACGGAAAGAAAACTCCTGCATCTGATGGAAAAACATCTTAAGGCATTTAGTTTAACAGATGAAACGTCAAAAAGCAAACACTTACCCAGAATGACCTGAGTTCCTTGGCCGATGTCTTTCCTCCACTGATCAATGACGAAGTCAAATTGGTCCGTCACATCTTCATGAGCTTTCAGTGTGAATACGGCAGTGTTGACCACAGCCTGAACGACAGATGGTAAAATCCATCAGATGCAGGAGCCAAACAGCATTACATTAGTGGTTCAACACATTGCCATAATGACAACAAGCAAACAGGGTTCGTACAGATACTGTATAAAGAAATTCCAGGGAGGTTATCAGATGGACTACAGTGTTAATTTTCCGTGAAAAGATTGTATGTGTAATTTGTCAAAAAAAAAAAAAAAAAAAGTCATATATATTGTATTTAAATAAGTCAAGCCTCTTCGTAAATATGGCTGTTTTCAAGGGTTTTCCAGGAGTTAAAAAAAAAAAAAAGTCAAATTCAAGTTCTTCAAGCACCTTGTACGAACCCTGAAACCACTCATGAATTTCACTAATTTATTCTGCAATGTTGAGGATGAAAGCAAAATGTTTGTGATATCTGAAATCTAATTGGTGGATTGTTACTCCCTACCTTATACACATGCTCTGTCTCCTCGGCCGAGTTGGTAATGATGAGGGTTTTCTGGGGTTTGGGCGGGTGGAAGTCCAGAGATCCGAGTAGAACGGAGATCTTGTCGCAGTCCAGACACAGCTGAACCCTCTGAGACACAAACAAGTCAGAGCTCAGAGGACAGGACAGAAACACCAGCGCTCCAGAGGACAGAAACCCCAGCGCTCGAGAGGACAGAAACACCAGCGTTCGAGAGGACAGGAACACCAGCGCTCAAGAGGACAGAAACACCAGCGCTCGAGAGGACAGAAACACCAGCTCTCGAGAGGAGAGAAACACCAGCGCTCGAGAGGAGAGAAACACCAGCGCTCGAGAGGAGAGAAACACCAGCGCTCGAGAGGAGAGAAACACCAGCGCTCGAGAGGAGAGAAACACCAGCGCTCGAGAGGAGAGAAACACCAGCGCTCGAGAGGACAGGACAGAAACACCAGCATTCGAGAGGAGAGAAACACCAGCGTTCGAGAGGACAGAAACACCAGCGTTCGAGAGGACAGAAACACCAGCGCTCGAGAGGACAGAAACACCAGCGTTCGAGAGGACAGAAACACCAGCGTTCGAGAGGACAGAAACACCAGCGTTCGAGAGGACAGAAACACCAGCACTCGAGAGGACAGAAACACCAGCTCTCGAGAGGAGAGAAAAACCAGCGTTCGAGAGGACAGAAACACCAGCGTTCGAGAGGACAGAAACACCAGCGTTCGAGAGGAGAGAAACACCAGCGTTCGAGAGGACAGAAACACCAGCGCTCGAGAGGACAGAAACACCAGCATTCGAGAGGAGAGAAACACCAGCGTTCGAGAGGAGAGAAACACCAGCGTTCGAGAGGACAGAAACACCAGCGTTCGAGAGGACAGAAACACCAGCGTTCGAGAGGACAGAAACACCAGCGCTCGAGAGGACAGAAACACCAGCGCTCGAGAGGAGAAAAACACCAGCGTTCGAGAGGACAGAAACACCAGCGCTCGAGAGGACAGAAACACCAGCGCTCGAGAGGACAGAAACACCAGCGCTCGAAAGGAGCGAAACACCAGCGTTCGAGAGGACAGAAACACCAGCGCTCGAGAGGACAGAAACACCAGCGCTGGAGAGGAGAGAAACACCAGCGCTCGAGAGGACAGAAACACCAGCGCTGGAGAGGAGAGAAACACCAGCGTTCGAGAGGACAGAAACACCAGCTCTCGAGAGGAGCGAAACACCAGCGCTCGAGAGGAGAGAAACACCAGCGCTCGAGAGGACAGAAACACCAGCGCTCGAGAGGACAGAAACACCAGCGCTCGAGAGGACAGAAACACCAGCGCTCGAGAGGACAGAAACACCAGCGCTCGAGAGGACAGGACAGAAACACCAGCATTCGAGAGGAGAGAAACACCAGCGCTCGAGAGGACAGAAACACCAGCGTTCGAGAGGACAGAAACACCAGCGTTCGAGAGGACAGAAACACCAGCGCTCGAGGACAGAAACACCAGCCTTCGAGAGGACAGAAACACCAGCGTTCGAGAGGACAGAAACACCAGCGTTCGAGAGGACAGAAACACCAGCGTTCGAGAGGACAGAAACACCAGCGCTCGAGAGGACAGAAACACCAGCTCTCGAGAGGAGAGAAACACCAGCGTTCGAGAGGACAGAAACACCAGCGTTCGAGAGGACAGAAATACCAGCATTCGAGAGGAGAGAAACACCAGCGTTCGAGAGGACAGAAACACCAGCGCTCGAGAGGACAGAAACACCAGCATTCGAGAGGAGAGAAACACCAGCGTTCGAGAGGACAGAAACACCAGCGTTCGAGAGGACAGAAACACCAGCGTTCGAGAGGACAGAAACACCAGCGCTCGAGAGGACAGAAACACCAGCGTTCGAGAGGACAGAAACACCAGCGTTCGAGAGGACAGAAACACCAGCGCTCGAGAGGACAGAAACACCAGCGCTCGAGAGGACAGAAACACCAGCGCTCGAGAGGACAGGACAGAAACACCAGCATTCGAGAGGAGAGAAACACCAGCGTTCGAGAGGACAGAAACACCAGCGTTCGAGAGGACAGAAACACCAGCGTTCGAGAGGACAGAAACACCAGTGCTCGAGAGGACAGAAACACCAGTGTACGAGAGGACAGAAACACCAGCGCTCGAGAGGACAGAAACAACAGCGTTCGAGAGGACAGAAACAACAGCGTTCGAGAGGACAGAAACACCAGCGCTCGAGAGGACAGAAACAACAGCGTTCGAGAGGACAGGACAGAAACACCAGCGCTCGAGAGGAGATAAACACCCGGTTCAAAAGGACAGAAACACCAGCGCTGGAGAGGAGAGAAACACCAGTGTTTGAGAGGACAGAAACACCAGCGTTCGAGAGGAGAGAAACACCAGCGTTTGAGAGGAAAGAAACACCAGCATTCGAGAGGACAGAAACACCAGCGCTTGAGAGGACAGAAACACCAGTGCTCGAGAGGACAGAAACACCAGCGCTCGAGAGGACAGAAACACCAGCGTTCGAGAGGACAGAAACACCAGCTCTCGAGGAAAGAAACACCAGTGCTGGAGAGGAGAGAAACACCAGTGTTTGAGAGGACAGAAACACCAGCGTTCGAGAGAACTGAAACACCAGCGTTTGAGAGGACAGAAACACCAGCGTTCGAGAGGACAGAAACACCAGCGTTCGAGAGGACAGAAACACCAGTCCTCGAGAGGACAGAAACACCAGTGTACGAGAGGACAGAAACACCAGCGCTCGAGAGGACAGAAACAACAGCGTTCGAGAGGACAGGACAGAAACACCAGCGCTCGAGAGGAGATAAACACCCGGTTCAAAAGGACAGAAACACCAGCTCTCGAGGACAGAAACACCAGCGCTCGAGAGGACAGAAACACCAGCGCTCGAGAGGACAGAAACACCAGCGTTCGAGAGGACAGAAACACCAGCTCTCGAGGAAAGAAACACCAGCGCTGGAGAGGAGAGAAACACCAGTGTTTGAGAGGACAGAAACACCAGCGTTCGAGAGAACAGAAACACCAGCGTTTGAGAGGACAGAAACACCAGCGTTCGAGAGGACAGAAACACCAGCGTTCGAGAGGACAGAAACACCAGTGCTCGAGAGGACAGAAACACCAGTGTACGAGAGGACAGAAACACCAGCGCTCGAGAGGACAGGACAGAAACACCAGCGCTCGAGAGGAGATAAACACCCGGTTCAAAAGGACAGAAACACCAGCTCTCGAGGACAGAAACACCAGCGCTCGAGAGGACAGAAACACCAGCGTTCAAGAGGACAGAAACACCAGCTCTCGAGAGGACAGGACAGAAACACCAGGGTTTAAGAGGACATAAACACCAGCGTTCAAGAGGACAGAAACACCAGCGTTCAAGAGGACAGAAACACCAGCGTTCAAGAGGACAGAAACACCAGCGTTCAAGAGGACAGAAACACCAGCTCTCGAGAGGACAGGACAGAAACACCAGGGTTTAAGAGGACATAAACACCAGCGCTCGAGAGGACAAAAACACCAGCGTTCGAGAGGACAAAAACACCAGCGTTCGAGAGGACAGAAACACCAGCGTTCGAGAGGACAGAAACACCAGCGCTCGAGAGGACAGAAACACCAGCGTTCAAGAGGACAGAAACACCAGCTCTCGAGAGGACAGGACAGAAACTCCAGGGTTTAAGAGGACATAAACACCAGCACTCGAGAGGACAAAAACACCAGCGTTCGAGAGGACAGAAACACCAGCGTTCGAGAGGACAGAAACACCAGCGTTCGAGAGGACAGAAACACCAGCGTTCGAGAGGACAGAAACACCAGCGTTCGAGAGGACAGAAACACCAGCGCTTGAGAGGACATAAACACCAGCGTTCGAGAGGAGAGAAACACCAGCGCTCGAGAGGACAGAAACACCAGCGCTCGAGAGGACCGAAACACCAGCGTTCGAGAGGACAGAAACACCAGCGCTTGAGAGGACATAAACACCAGCGTTCGAGAGGAGAGAAACACCAGAGTTCGAGAGGACAGAAACACCAGCGCTCGAGAGGATAGAAACACCAGTGCTCGAGAGGACAGAAACACCAGCGCTCGAGAGGACAGAAACACCAGCGCTCGAGAGGACAGAAACACCAGCGCTCGAGAGGACAGAAACACCAGCGGTTGAGAGGACAGAAAAACCAGCGTTTGAGAGGACAGAAACACCAGCGTTCGAGAGGACAGAAACACCAGCGCTCGAGAGGACAGAAACACCAGCGCTCGAGAGGACAGAAACACCAGCGCTCGAGAGGACAGAAACACCAGCGCTTGAGAGGACATAAACACCAGCGTTCGAGAGGAGAGAAACACCAGAGTTCGAGAGGACAGAAACACCAGCGCTCGAGAGGATAGAAACACCAGTGCTCGAGAGGACAGAAACACCAGCGCTCGAGAGGACAGAAACACCAGCGCTCAAAAGGACAGAAACACCAGCGCTCGAGAGGACAGAAACACCAGCGGTTGAGAGGACAGAAACACCAGCGTTTGAGAGGACAGAAACACCAGCGTTCGAGAGGACAGAAACACCAGCGCTCGAGAGGACAGAAACACCAGCGCTCGAGAGGACAGAAACACCAGCGCTCGAGAGGACAGAAACACCAGCGCTTGAGAGGACAGAAACACCAGCGCTTGAGAGGACAGAAACACCAGCTCTCGAAAGGACAGGACAGAAACACCAGCTCTCGAAAGGACAGGACAGAAACACCAGCTCTCGAAAGGACAGGACAGAAACACCAGCTCTCGAAAGGACAGGACAGAAACACCAGCTCTCGAGAGGACAGGACAGAAACACCAGTGTTGAAGAGGACAGAAACACCAGCGCTCGAGAGGACAGAAACACCAGCGTTCAAGAGGACAGAAACACCAGGGGCACGTTCAAGTTCAAAACGGTGCGCAACGTTTTGCTTCGGTTTCCGGGTTGAACGTAGGGCTGGGCGATAAAACGATAACGATAATTATCGCGATATAATTTTTCTCGATAAAACGATATCAATAGGTCGATAAATGTTCGATAATGTTTATGCGCCAAAAGCGGAACGAAACTCATTTGAACCGCGCGCGCCTCACGGACCGTTTATCCGC